CGGCGCAGGCTCCACTGAGTCCCAGGAGGGAAGGTGTCAGTGAAGCCAGGCGGACGACGCAGCCAGATCTCCTCGTGCAGTCGGCCCTGGAGGAACGCAGTGGAGAAGTCGAGGGAGTGCAGCTCGTAGTCTCGCTGCGCTGCTATGTGAAGTAACACCCGAAGAGTAGTCATCTTCGGGGTCGGAGCAAAGGTCTGGAAGAAGTCAACTCCCTCACGCTGACTGAAGCCCCTAGCCACGTAGCGCGCCTTGAACACCGGAGGTGCTCCAGGCGGCCGCTTCACCTTGAAGAGCCACATGCCATCGACTACGTTCGCCCTAGGAGGGGGAACTGCGTCGACGTAAGTGCCTGTGGATCTCCAAGACGCCAACTCTGAGTCCATAGCCGCTTTCCACTGAGAGGCCCACTTCCCTGACACAGCCTCGCGGTAAGTGCGAGGAGTCGGTATGTCCAGGGCGTCGGGGTCTCCCTCAGGGGAGAGCAGCATGGCACAGACAGAAGGAGAAGCGGCTGCCCAGTACTCCAGCTCAGACTCTCTGTCCTCTAGGACGTCACAGCCAAGGGAAAACTCACCCCAGACGGACAGAGGACGGTAGGGAGGAGCAGGGACCACACGGGTAGCGTAGTCAAGGCGGCTAGCGGCAGCAAACTCAGCGACAACGGCAGTGAGAGTGGAGGCAGACGACGGGGGGAAACGAGAGTCGGTGACAAGAGTGGCTAGGACACGGGAGGCAACAGGACGAACAGTGCGGTAGTAGTCAGTGATCGGAGTGGGGAGGGTGGGGAGAGAGGACAGAGGAGGAGACGGGAGAACGGACACAGGAGACGGAGAACGGCGACGAGACGAACACAGGAGGGCAGTGTGGAGGTCAGTAACAGGGGACGAGTGACGAGCACGCGGGGGACAACGGGTGACCAAGTCACGACTGTCTAGGACTACAGGAGGAGGAGACTGTGGCGGAGAGAACGACCTGACTGCTGGACTGGCGTCCGGAGGAGGAAACGTAGGACCAAACACAGGAGGAGAGGAGGAAAGGCCAAGGGCCCGCAGGCCACTCACAGGGGGGAACAACTGCCGCTCCAGAGGGAGCTGTGGCGGCGGCTGCTGCTGCAGCTGCTGCGGCGGCTGCTGCTGCTGCTGCTGCTGCTGCTGCTGCTGCTGCTGCTGCCGCTGCTGCTCCAGGAGGTCCAGTACCCGCAGCTCCTGCCGCTCCCTCTCCAACCGCTCCTGCTCCTCACGCTCACGCCGGCGGGCAGCCTGGAGACGTGTGTCGTGGCGGTGGGGAGGCGGAGTGGACTCCGCAGACCCAGGGTCAGACTCCTCAGACTCAGCACCCCCAGAACCAGCACCTCCAGCTCCAGCACCCCCAGAGCTAGCGCCACCTGCGCCAGCACCTCCAGCTCCAGCACCCCGCGACCGAGTACCCCCAGACCGAGCACCGCCAGCGGCTGCACCTCCAGCTCCAACACCAACCGAGTCCACAGTAACCTGTCGCGTAAGTGCCGAAGGCTGCTGAGGGGACTGTGAGGAGGACTGTGGGGAGGGAGACGCTACCTGACGCGCGACCGAGGGTAGAGGGGTAATGTGGGACACACCAGACGGGGCAGGACCAGGGGGGGGGCGGGGGTACCGGAGGGGCGGGAGCAGGAGGAGGAGAGGGTGCGAGGAAAAGAGGGGGAGGGGGTACCGGGAGACCTCGACAGGGGTACCTCGAGGGACGCCAGGTACCGAACTCGATCGGGCGTCCCTCCGCGTCGAAACGGAGGCGACGGGACTCCATAGCGGACGTCATGCTAAAGGCGGCTGGAGCACGGCAGAGTCGGAGCTAGGAACGAGGAGGATGCTAGAGGCGGAGCTAGGAACGTGGAGGACTGGCACTGGGGGCGAGAGGCGCCAGTTGGAGAGCTAGGGAGAGAAACGGCTGCGAACACTAGGAGCGAAGGAGGCACTAGTGCGGACCCTACTCTAACCTACGCTACCGGCGGGAGAGAGAGCGGCTACCAGCCGCTGAATGGTAGTCCGATGGCAGTAGGGCTGTGAAGGGCCCCGCGCACAAGGTAGTGGTGGGGCTAGGGTTTGCAACGAACGGTGTGGGCGGTTTAGGGCGGTTGAGTGTGGTGTATGGCGGTTTGCGGCGGTTTAGGGCGGTTTAGGGCGGTTTAGGGCGGTTGAGTGCGGTTGAAGGGCGGTATAGGGCGGTTTAGGCGAGGGCGGGCGCCTAAGGCCCGAAGTGGCGGGCGCCTAAGGCGCTGGCTGGCGGGCGCCTAAGGCGCTGGCTGGCGGGCGCCTAAGGCGCTGGCTGGCGGGCGCCGAAGGCGCTGGGTGACGGGCGCCTAAGGCGCGACGTGGCGGGCGCCTAAGGCGCGACGTGGCGGGCGCCTAAGGCGCAACGTGGCGGGCGCCTAAGGCGCGACGGGACGGGCGCCTGAGGTGCGACGTGGCGGGCGCCTAAGGCGCGACGGGGCGGGCGCCTAAGGCGCGACGTGGCGGGCGCCTAAGGCGCGACGTGGCGGGCGCCTAAGGCGCGACGTGGCGGGCGCCTAAGGCGCGACGTGGCGGGCGCCTAAGGCGCGACGTGGCGGGCGCCTACGGCGTGACGTGGCGGGCGCCTGAGGTGCAACGTGGCGGGCGCCTGAGGGGCGGGGTGGTGGGCGCCTAGGACGCGAACGGGCAGGCGCCTAGGGCGCGGTCGCGAGAGCGCCTAAGGTGCGGGCTGGAGGGCGCTTAGGGGCGCGGGCTGGAGGGCGCTTAAGGGCGCGGGCTGGAGGGCGCTCAGGGGCGCGGGCTGGAGGGCGCTCAGGGGCGCGGGCTGGAGGGCGCTTAGGGGCGCGGGCTGGAGGGCGCTTAGGGGGCGCGGGCTGGAGGGCGCTTAGGGGCGCGGGCGAGAGGGCGCTTAGGGGCGCGGAGGTCCTAGAAGGTAACCTAGCGTGATACCATCTCAAAGTAGCTTAGCGGAATGATTGGATTGGGGTTGTGAAAGCATACAAGTAGGATACCTAACAAAGTGTTGTACTCCCTAAGGAGCAACTCACTACAGCCTATCACAAATATAACATTTGACACTGTCCCACGTCCGAGATGGCAGCTGACTACTTGACCAAGAAACTTGGAAAACAGAAGTTCGAGTACTGCATGCTGCTGACTGGACAAAGCCACGTCACCATCAGCGACACTCCAGAAGCGAAGGGGAGTGTTGGGAACAAATAAGTTAAAGCGCCTCTGTCGTGTCAGAACCCAAGACACAAAGCGAAGCAGCTCAAGTCGAAGCATCGCGAGTCAACCAAGGTGGTTAACGTAACCGTCGGAGGTTACGGGAAAGTCAAAGGTCAGCGACCTTTGACCTGACGCAGCGCGACAGCAAGGACAAACAACTGACTCGACATTGAGCAGTTGCCCGAGTCGCACTGTATCGAACCGCAACAATAAAATTAGTTATAATGTCTCTTCATATTCTCTGTACTCATCTATTTATATTCTTGTATCTCTTTGCCTAAAATCAACTTACTTTGCCCTCACATACCAGCGCAAGGTGGTTCAAAGACTTCACTTCAACGCTTCCGCTATTACAATACCTATTCAAACTTTAACTCTACAAAGATCCTAGGGCGTTTCAGCCCAACATAGGGAAGGGGGGGCCGGGCTGCGAAACATTACGAGGGGCATGAAAGTAGGTGGTCATGGCATTTGAGTAACGAAACACCTGCTGGCTTAGAGCCTGGCAGACAGGGCTCTTGCTAGGATTTGGGCCTGTCTGACATACCAAAGTAAAAAAACGGTTCTGTCTGACGTTCAGACGGGCATGTTTTTTTGGTCTGATTTTTTGGACGAATGTTAAAGCTTAGTCTGATTCTTCATACGATTCAATTTGCAGTCTGATTCAGCTACCACACTTGTCTAACATAATCACGCTTGTTTTGTTAACGAACGCGCCCCTGGTGCAGTGCTGACAGCTCGCTAGCTGACAGACAGCTGTGTGGCTATTGAGGGGCACGCACATGACAATGAGGGGCTGCGACGCGAGGGATCAGGGTGGGTGGAGGTGGAGGGACGCGTAAGGAAGGGGGGGCTGGGCTGCGAAACATTACGAGGGGCATGAAAGCGGGCTAGGCTGGGAGCGAGACCTGGAGAGACCTCAGGTTGGGGAAAGGGGGAGAAGGGTTGGACAGGACTAGGCCTGGAAGAGGAGCGAGGGCATAGAAGGGGGGGCTGATCTGGTAGAGTAGCGAGAGATCGGGGGGGAAAGGGAGGGTTGGCGGGAGGGGGATCAGTATCAGACGATCAACAACTCGTTCTCTGAAATTTCAGACGAACTAAAATCTGATGAAAGCGAAAATCTACGTCTGAAAATCAGACCATCAGACCAATTTGGCCTGATAATGAGAGCCCTGCTGGCAGACCTGCATTGGTAATATAACATCACGCAAGGTGTATGGCATGGCATGGCATGAGCGAAACTTCTACCAAATGTCTGCACTCCGTTTCACCACCACATTCCCTTTTGCTTTACCATAGAGCTCTCACAAGCTACCGTACCTAAGATATTGCTATACCGGTAAGAACTCTCAACCGAACAATTCTAATCATGTCAAGAAACCTTGCAGCACCCTGCCCTCCACAGTTTTTCCACACTGACGCTGCTGCGAATAGTGTAGCGAATGTGAATCCACAAGACCAGGTCATGACAACAGGGGGTCAAGGCTTGAACCTGAATGCGTGGTGTTGTTTGTGAGGAATAGAGACGTCTCAAATGGGTGGTGGTTGGAGGGAGCCACCACGAGTCACTGTGAAAACGTGAAAGCTGTGGGTGGGTTGGTTTGTTTTGAGACGACACAAGACGATCGGCACGGTTATGATGATGATGAAGTATCAGGAGGAGGGCGATCCAAAGTACCGTAGGCTTCGAGGGATGGCACTGTTACCACATTGTCTGCCACTGCCTCCATGGCTTTTGAATCGACTCAACAAAGCTGACTCAAGAGGGCGCGATGAGATGCAGCATCAGGAGGAGGGCGATCCAAAGTAGGCTTCAAGGGATGGCACTGATACCACATTGGCTGCCACTGCCCCCGTGGCCGCTGGTGTGATGTGCAGAATGTACTTCACAAACCGCTGGTGGGTGAGGGTGGGGGGTGAGAAGGGGATGCGGGTGGGGGAGGGGGGGAAGGGGAGAGGGGTTTTGATCCAGCTCAAAAGGTTGGTTGCTTCTGCCCCCGTGGCTGCTGGCGTGATGTGCAGAATGTACTTCACAAACCGCTGGTGGGCGTGGTGTGGGAGGTGGAGGGGAAGGGGTGGACGGATGAGAGGGGTTTTGAGGCGCCTCAGATGGGTGGCTGCTGGCGTGATGTGCAGAATGTACTTCACAAACCGCTGGTGGGGGGTGGTTGGGGGGGGGGGGGGGGGGGTGGAGGGGGAGGGGAAGGGGGGAGAAAGGAAACTGGTGGAAAGGAAACGGGAGACATGGGTTTTGAGGCGCCTGAAACAATTTGCTGTCAAATGCCTCAACGTGCCAATCGGGCTCCTCCTAGCTTGCTCAATGCCATTCACAACAGGGAACACTCACATTGCCTGTGCTGCACCCTCTCCCCCCCATGGCTCACCCGCAGCTGCTCCACCGTGCTGTCAAACGCCTCAAAGTGCCAGTCCGGCCCCAGCAAGCTTGCTCCCAAGCCACACGAACCGCTCACCCTGCCTGTGCCGTACCCTCTCGCCCCCATGACTCACGCGCAGCTGCGCCCTCCCCCCCCTCCCATGACTCACCCGCAGCTGTTCCACCGTGCTGTCAAACGCCTCAAAGTGCCAGTCCGGCCCCAGCTGCCTTGCTTGCTCCTAACACACAGGACCCTCACCGTACCTGTATTGCACCCTTCCCCATCCTCCCCTCCCCTCCTCATGGCTCACCCGCAGCTGCTCCACCGTGGTGTCAAACGCCTCAAAGTGCCAGTCCGGCTCCAGCTGCCTCACGAATGACGCTACTCCAACGTCCTTCTCACAGAACAGCACCTGGTGACGCGCAGTGGGAGTGAGGTTGGGTTGGGAGGGGTTTTGTGGGGTTGGGTTGACATGGAAGAGGGAGAGGTGGTTTAAAGCATTTCAGAACCAGCTGCCACACAAAAGACGCTACTCCATTGTCCTTCTAACAGAACAGCTCCTGGTGCCGTGCTGTGGGGAAGCATAAGGTTCGAATGGGTCGAGGTAGGTTGATAAAGGGGTGAGGTAAGCTTGGACATATCACAACCAGCTGCCTGCAGAAACGATGGGTGCCTGCAGTAACGATGTAATGGCAATGTTCTTCTCACAAAACAGCACCTGTTGGCGCCATGCAGTGGGAAACGGTGATAATGTGTTGGTTCGGTTCGGGCTCGGTGCGGTTGAGTTAAGTTCGGTTGTGCTGAAAGAGACAGAGAGAGAAAGGGCCAGAGGGACTAAGGGTATCTTGAATCAGACTGCATGTCTGTACCCTGCTGAATCAATACAACGGACCGTTTGAGAGAGAGGTGTATTGAAGAGCCTCAACACCAGCTGCTGCGCAGACGATAGCGAAGCAGTTGAAATTTAAGAAAACTGTAGCTACCGGGGAGCTTATTAAGTAGATATGCCGCATCCCATCCCATCCCATCCCATCCCATCCCATCCCATCCCATCCCATCCCATCCCATCCCCATCCCACCCCACCCCACCCCACCCCATCCCACCCCACCCCACCCCACCCCACCCCATCCCACCCCATCCCATCCCACCCCACCCCACCCCACCCCACCCCACCCCATCCCATCCCATCCCACCCCACCCCACCCCACCCAACCCCACCCCACCCCACCCCACCCCACCCCACCCCATCCCACCCCATCCCATCCCATCCCATCCCATCCCATCCCACCCCACCCCACCCCACCCCACCCCGTCCCATCCCACCCCACCCCACCCCACCCCACCCCACCCCGTCCCATCCCATCCCATCCCAAACCATCCCATCCCATCCCATCCCATCCCATCCCACCCCACCCCACCCCACCCCAGCCCATCCCATCCCATCCCATCCCATCCCATCCCATCCCATCCCATCCCATCCCATCCCATCCCATCCCATCCCATCCCACCCCACCCCACCCCACCCCACCCCACCCCATCCCATCCCATCCCAGCCATTCATGAGGCAAGCCCCTTGTTGCTGTTTTCTGTACCTTGTCTCGGTTGATCGGCCCTGGCGAGCCGTCAGGCAGGGAGAAGAGACTGGCCTCCTCTAGTGCTGACAGGATGGTGGCCTGCATTGGGGGGGGAGGAGGAGGAGGTGGAGGGGAATGTGGAGGGGAGGGAGGAAGGGGATGGGAAAAGGGAAGAGGAAGTGGAAGGCGGAACGGGATGGGGAGGGGGAGGGAGAAGAGACTGGCCTCCTCTAATGCTGCCAGGATGGTGGCCTGTATGGGGGGAGGGGAGGGGGATGGGTAGAGGAAGGGGGGTGGGAAGGGGAAGAGGGAGGGGGATTGGGAGAAGGGTCGTGTCAAAGGGGAAGCCGTGTGGCAGGGAGAAGAGATTGGCTTCCTCTAATGCTGACAGGATGGTGGCCTGCATGGGGGGAGGGAGGAGGGAAGGGAGAAGAAGGAGAAAAAGAAAGGGGCATGGGAGGGAAGGGAAACAGGGAGCCGTGTGGCAGGGAGAAGAGATTGGCCTCCTCTAATGCTAACAGGATGGTGGCCTGCATGAGTTAGGGAAGAGGGAGGGGGAAGAGGAGGGGAAGGGGGAGGGAAGGAGAAGGGGGATGGGGAGGGAAGGGGAGGGGATGGGGAGGGGAAGGGGGAGGGGGATGGGGAAGGGGAAGGGGGAGGGGGATGGGGAAGGGGAAGGGGGAGGGGGATGGGGAAGGGGAAGGGGGAGGGGGATGGGGAAGGGGAAGGGGGAGGGGGATGGGGAAGGGGAAGGGGGAGGGGGATGGGGAAGGGGAAGGGGGAGGGGGATGGGGAAGACGAAGGCAGCAAGAGGGCAAGCAAGCAAGCAAAGCAAGCCAGCAAGGCAAGCCAGCAAGGCAAGCACAACGTACGTACGTTGCTCTCGTCGCTGTGCACTTGTGCCATGAGGTACACATCGGCCTGCCCGATGGGTGGACCAGAGGCGGCCTTGGAGAAGACAGGCAGGTAAGGCAACAAGCAAGGCAGAGTGAACGCACCTCGCTCTCGTCGCTGTGTACTTGTGCCATGAGATTCACGTCTGCCTGCCCGATGGGTGGGATCAGAGGGAGGCGGCCTTGGAGCAGACAGGCAGGTAAGGCAGCAAGCGAGGCAGAGTGAACGCACCACGCTCTCGTTGCTGTGTACTTGTGCCATGAGATTCACGTCTGCCTGCCCGATGGGTGGGATCTGAGGGAGGCGGCCTTGGAGCAGACAGGCAGGTAAGGCAGCAAGCGAGGCAGAGTGAACGCACCTCGCTCTCGTCGCTGTGCACTTGTGCCATGAGGTACACATCGGCCTGCCTTGCCACCTCCCGCACGATCTCCGCTGCCCCACTCCGCAACGATGCTCCGGACTGATGAGCGCGAGAGAGGAACAGAAGAGCGCGAGAGGGGAGAGGGAGAGAGGAGGGGACGAGGGGAGGGCGAGAGAAGAGAGTGAGCGGAGGGGGGGAGAGGAGGGGAAAAGGGGAGGGCGAATGTAGAGGGTGAGAGGGGAGGGTGAGAGGGGAGGGGGAGAGAGAAAGGCGGCCGTGAGGAGTTATGGGAAATGAGTGGACTGTGGGTTGTGATGGTTGAGGTGGTGAGAGCGGGGCGGGACAGACAAGGCGCGTGGAGAAATTTGATTGAAATGTCCTGACATTTCACGAAGAAAGGTAGAAGGAGTCCCGGGAGAAACGTAGAGAGTAAAGACACATGAAGAGGGAAATGGGGAGGCGAGAGGGGAAGGTGAGAGGGGAAGGCGAGAGGGGAAGGTGAGAGGGGAAGGCGAGAGGGGAGAGGAAAGGGGAAAGACGAAAAGGGGGGGGGTGGGGGGGCGAGAGGAGGGCAGATGTTGGGGGTGGTGGGAGATGAGTAGACCACGGGTAGTAGTGATGGGTGGAGGGTAGGACGAGGGGGGCAGCGAAAGGAGAGGGGAGCGGGGGGGGGGGGGGGGGGGGGGGGGGAGGTGGGGTGTGGTGCGAGGGGCAAAGGACCACGTGGTAATGCGTGCGTGTGTGTGTGTGTGCGTGTGTGTGTGCGTGTGTGTGTGCGTGTGTGTGTGCGTGTGTGTGTGTGCGCGCATGTGTGTGTGTGCATGTGTGGACGCAAATGCATTACTTGCAGCTCTTCTGGTGATGATTGGTTTAGCACCACTCCAAGCATCTGAATCGTGACCTGCAGAGACGATAGGCACGGGAGGAGAGGGGGGGAGTGGGGGCGAGGGAAGAGGAGACGGGTTGCGTGCGTGTGTGTGTTAAGTCAGAATGAGAGAGAAACGAGACCAGGGAAGAGAGGCACGGGAGGAAAGGTGGGTGGGGAAGTCGGGGAGAGGAAAGTGAGGGAGAAGGAGGAGGGAAGGGGTTGCGTGCGTGTGTGTCAGAGAGAGAGAGAGAGTGAAACAAGACCACGCCTAGCATCTGAATCGTGATTTGCAGGGACAAGAGGCACGGGGAGGGGGGGTGGGAGTGGGGGAGGAGGTGACTGGGACGAGGTCAGGGGGGAGTGCGTGTGTGAAAGAGAGAGGAAGAGAGACAAGATTGCAGGAGGGACTGGACGGGAAGAGCGGGGGGCACGTGTGTCCAAGAGAGAAACGAGATTGAAAATGCCATAGAATGCTACTCATGCGGATGCCCATGGAGAGATGCAACGGAGAAGGAAGAAAGCAGATGGGGGTATGGCGGGGGGGAGTGGGAGAGGAAGAGGGAGAGGAAGGGGGAAAGGGTATGGAAAGGGTATTGATTGATTGTACATGCTTCCACATGTACAACCAATCAATCAACGTGACCCTCAACCATCTCTCGCATGGCAATCTTCCCGTTCGCCCTCCCCCCATCCCCCATCCCCCCACCCCCCCACCCCCTCTCGCCCATTCCCCCCGCGCCACCTCCTTTCCCCCTTCCCCCCCCCAGCGCGACGCACTCACTCTCTTGCCGCCATTGAGCTTCTGCCGCACTGTGAGCGCCAGACAACCCCCGCCACACCAACACCCATTCTCTCCCCCCCATTCTCACCCTCCCTCTCCCCCCCCCCCCCCTTGACCCCCAGCCCCCCGCACTCACTCTCTTGCTGCCATTGAGCTGCTGCCGCACTGTGAGCGCCAGACGCGACTGCGCAAGGAGAGAGGCGCAGGGGGGCGCGGTGAGCGACAGGGAGGGGGAGGGAAGGCGGAGGGGGGATGGGAGGGGGAGTGGAAGGGGAAGTGAAGGGGAGGATGATTGGAAGAGGGAGGGATGGAATGCAGATAGGGCTTTATACTCAACAGGTGCGGCCAAGAATCAACAGCACCCATGCAACGACTACACCAGCTACAGGCCACAGCTCAGGCTCGGACCGAACCCACAAACAAGGCTAGGGCCGAACCTGGGGCATGTCTTCTTGCCGAACGAGGTCTTTTCTCAAGCCACCTCTCGTTCCTCCATTCCCTTCCGCCTCCGCGAATGCTCCCCCTCCTGCGGATCTCCCCGCGCCTCTTTGCTGCGCCTGGCTGATCCCCGCGGACGCGCCAGTCGCGCGCGCAACCTCCCCCGCCCCGCGTCCGCCCGCGCCTGCTGTTCCGGAGGGCCCCGCCTCGTCGCGCTTCCGCGCGGCGGCGGCGGACGGCGGAGGTGGCGAGCGCGCGTGTGGAGGGCGCGCGGAGCGGGGGGCCCGCGGACGGGAGAAGCGCCAGGCGATTAGTATGGCGAGCGCGAACCCCGCAACTGCGCCCATCGTCGTTGCGCGCTGAAGGATGCGCGAGAAAGTAGGCGGTGTGAGGAACAGAAGGGGATAGGGGGAGAGGGGGAGAAAGGGGGAGGGAGGAGAGCAAGGGGGGGAGGTGGGAGACAAGGGGAAGGAGGGCAGGGGGTGGGGGAAGAGAACGGGAGGGGGTGGATGGAAGTAGAGGGGTGTCCAGTGTTGGATGGAGGAGAAGAGAGGGGGGAGGGGGGAGAGGGATCAGGAGGGGGCTAGGAGGGATTGGGAGAGGGGGAGGAGGGGATGTTGTTCCGTTCCATTTGGGATACGAAAAGGGAACAGGAGATTAAGAAGGTATAAGACGATGAGTAAGAATAAAGATGAGCAGGCATTGGAGGGGAGTGGAGGGATCAGGTCGCACGAGCAGGGTGTGGGAGTAAAGAGTTCGAACGTGGAGAGCGATGACGGACGAGGGAGTGGGGGGGAGGGTGGAGGGGGAGGAGAAGGAGGAGGAGGAGGAGGAGGAGGAGGAGGAGGAGGAGGAGGAGGAGGAGGAGGAGGAGGAGGAGGAGGAGGAGGAGGAGGAGGAGGAGGAGGAGGAGGAGGAGAGGAGGAGGAGGAGGAGGAGGAGGAGGAGGAAGGAAAGACCGCGACGAAAGAGGAAGCGAGAGGCAGCGCTGGTGACGCTTGCTCACCCACTGGGGAAACAGACAGGGCCAACCCTTCTCAACCCCTCACCCACTCACCCCATCACCCCCTCACCCACTCACTTCTTCAATCACTACCAGCTAGGACATGTCAGGTCAGGCCCGACTAGCCCCATGCAACCTAGATTCGACACCGCGTGGCCTGAAAAGCTTCCTAGTAGGGAGCCTTACGGTTAGACAGTCTATAGGGCAGCGTAGAGGGTCTAGATCCGACGGATAGAAAGCGCATCCGACGGATGGACGGAAGAAGAATGCCCTTCGCCGATTGGATTATGAGTGTAGATTTAGTCGCCGACTCGAATCGCACCTGGTGACCTAGTGGTCGATACGCGCTATAAGCTTGTCGCACTCACATCGAGCGCGCGAATGGCTTGCACGACGTGTAACAGCCTCGGCGAAAGCGAAGAACCTAGGCGCTGTAACCACGCCATCAGCGCGTCGATCGGCGACGATCCCATGGCTCTGCTAGCGGCGCGAGGACGAGAAGGGGGAGGAAAAGGAGGCGGCGCGGATCGCAGAAGAGGAGAAGAAGTCAACTGCGAACTGCGAAATGGCGGAGGAGGCGGACGGCAGGACGGCAGGGGCTGGGGAGAAAAGGCAATGTCGCGAAAGGAATGAGTGGACGTTGCTTCGTTCGAGAATGAAGCTTCGGCGATTGGGATTTCGCCCGGTTTTGAAAGAGACGTTCGCGTGTTAAGTTTCGAGCACGAGACAGTCCAGACGAAGTGAAAACGAAGCTGGTCAGCCCGGAAGCAAGCGGTTAGGTACGGTGAAGGACGCGGGCGAGGAAAGGACGGCGGGCAAGTGGATCGAATAATTTTCCGACCTTTCACACCCCAGTTACCCAACCATACTCGCCGTTAATCGCCGATCCATGAGCATCATAGGCGGAAGATATGCTTTCATGAGTGCAATGAACGATGCTTGCAACGCTAAGTCATGGGTGATGTATTCTGTGAGGAGCAAGTCCGTGGGAGGGAGTACAAGGACGACCAAAAAGATCACAGGAAACGATCTAAACCGAACTGAAAGCAGGAAGTTTTTCGAATCCACTTCGCAAGACAACTGCCGCTTCGTACGTACGACAGTGGTGTATGACGGTTGAGTACGATCAGATCAAAAGTATTTCACAGCATTGAAAAGCTTTTCACCTTGATGTTTACTGACGATATGGCATGGTACGCAATATGCGGTACAGAGTGTTCCGGGAGTTTTCGTGTAGATCCCGTGTACATCATATGCTGATAATGAACATTTGTTATTGACAGTGATTGTACGTAGTAACAAAACCACTTGCGATCCTTCGACTACTTTCCCACAGCTTCAATGGGGCAGTACACTGGCCTTGAGAAATAAATTGCTTTACGGAAATACATAGTGTTCCTCTCCCCGTTCATCTGTGCCGGTCCGCGCTCGCGTGTCGCTCGCTCGTCGCACGCGAGTCGCTGGCGCGACGATTCTTTGCCGCCTCCGTCGCCCGTCCGCCCGTCAGCCCCGATGCTTTCGCGAATCGCCTCGAGTCTGCGGCAGAGTGTGCAGCGGCTGACACGTGGCGGGGGACCCGCGGTTTTGGCGGGAACGGATGACGCGGGAAATAAGTACTTCTACCAACCAGCCGATGAGTCGCAGTCCCGATCCAATGGTGTGTGTCACACTGAGTGGGTTTCGGGGGGGGGGGGGAGTGGGGAAAGGGAGAGCAGAGGAGCGGGAGAGTGGCGAAGGGGACACGGAGCCGAGGGGCTTGGGAAAGTGTGTGTTTTTGTGGGTGGCTGTGAGGTTGTGTGTGGACCTGGTAGGAGGTGGGAGGGTGTTGGGGGAAGGGGGGTGGAAGGGAGGGGAGTGTGTGTGTGAGGGTGGGGATGGGGTGTGTTTATCTGTGCGCACATGTGTGTCTGTGTGTGCGTGCGCGCGCGCGCGCGCGCGTGTGTGTGTGTGTGTGTGTGTGTGTGTGTGTGTGTGTGTGTGTGTGTGTGTGTGTGTGTGTGTGTGTGTGTGTGTGTTGTGTGTGTGTGTGTGTGTGTGTGTGTGTGTGTGTGTGTGTGTGTGTGTGTGTGTGTGTGTGTGTGTTGTGTGTGTGTGTGTGTGTGTGTGTGTGTGTGTGTGTGTGTGTGTGTGTGTGTGTGTGTGTGTGTGTGTGTGTGTGTGTGTGTGTGTGGTGTGTGTGTGTGTGTGTGTGTGTGTGTGTGTGTGTGTGTGTGTGTGTGTGTGTGTGTGTGTGTGGTGTGTGTGTGTGTGTGTGTGTGTGTGTGTGTGTGTGTGTGTGTGTGTGTGTGTGTGTGTGTGTGTGTGTGTGTGTGTGTGTGTGTGGTGTGTGTGTGTGTGTGTGTGTGTGTGTGTGTGTGTGTGTGTGTGTGTGTGTGTGTGTGTGTGTGTGTGTGTGTGTGTGTGTGTGTGTGTGTGTGTGTGTGTGTGTGTGTGTGTGTGTGTGTGTGTGTGTGTGTGTGTGTGTGTGTGTGTGTGTGTGTGTGTGTGTGTGTGTGTGTGTGTGTGTGTGTGTGTGTGTGTGTGTGTGTGTGTGTGTGTGTGTGTGTGTGTGTGTGTGTGTGTGTGTGTGTGTGTGTGTGTGTGTGTGTGTGTGTGTGTGTGTGTGTGTGTGTGTGTGTGTGTGTGTGTGTGTGTGTGTGTGTGTGTGTGTGTGTGTGTGTGTGTGTGTGTGTGTGTGTGTGTGTGTGTGTGTGTGTGTGTGTGTGTGTGTGTGTGTGTGTGTGTGTGTGTGTGTGTGTGTGTGTGTGTGGGTGTGTGTGTGTGTGTGTGTGTGTGTGTGTGTGTGTGTGTGTGTGTGTGTGTGTGTGTGTGTGTGTGTGTGTGTGTGTGTGTGTGTGTGTGTGTGTGTGTGTGTGTGTGTGTGTGTGTGTGTGTGTGTGTGTGTGTGTGTGTGTGTGTGTGTGTGTGTGTGTGTGTGTGTTTCTGTGAGGCGACTCAGGAGCTGCAATGATGTGTGTACTGCGTCATGATGGGTGCACTCTCCTCAATGCGTACGTTCCCTCTCCCGTGAGAGGGAGTGCGTGCCTTATCAACCTCTCCTTCTCTCCCTCCAAACCTCTCCCCCCCACGTCTTCCTCCTATTCCTCACCCTCCCTCCCTCCCTCCCTCCCTCCCTCCCTCCTTCCCTCCCTCCCTCCCTCCCTCCCTTCCTCCCTCCCTCCCTCCCTCCCTCCCTCCCTCCCTCTCTCCCCACCCTCCCTCTCGTCCGCCCACCCTCCCCCCCTCGCCTTGTTCGCGCCTCACTCAATATGATCTAGCTCGTCCGCTTGAATAGCTTTCACGACCCATGCTGCCCTTTCTGCTTCTCCCGCCCCGCCCTCCCATCTCATCCCCCTCGTCCCTCGCTCCTTCGTTCTTCCAGCCCACTCGTCCCGTCTTCCCACTCTCTTCCCTCTTTCTTTCCCCACTGCTCCCAGCATTCTCTCTCACTCTCCGCACCCGTCCCCCCCTTCCCCCCCCTCCTCCCCCTGTCCGCCGCCCAGCAACCGCAGCGGTGGAGAGGTGGTGGGGTGGAGTACAGGAGCGGGGAGGGTGCCTGACTGGCCTCAGAATAGCCACGTGTTTGAAGTAGTGTTTTGTTTTGAGCCCTCTCAAAACCCCCCCTTAAAGCGGTGGAGAGGTGGTGGGGTGGAGTACAGGTGGGCGGGGGGGCGGGTGCCTGACTGGCCTCATACTCCTCCTCGTCCTATCTCCCGTCACGCTTCCCAGGTGACTTTTGAGTCGACTCAAAAGTTCAGTGGAGAGGCGGTGGGGTGGAGTACAGCGGGGCGTGGCGGGTGCCTGACTGGCCTCATAATCCCCCTCGTCTTATCTCCTGCCACGCTCCCCCTCACCCCCTTCACCCTCTTCCCCCCCTTCCCCCCCCTTCCCCCCCTTCCCCCCCTTCCCCCCCCTGTCCCCCCATTCCCCCATTTCCCCCTGCCCACCTTCCCTCCACCCATCCGTCTCTGAGCAGCAGCAGCGGGGGAGAGGCGGTGGGTGGAGTGCAGGAGCGGGGCGGACCCAACCAAGCTGCCAGGTGGGCCCAGCTGGCTATGTGCCTCTTCACTTCACTCAGTAGTCGCCTCAGTGGGGTGCATTGCTTCCTGACTGTCGCCTCAGCGGGGTGCCTGTCGAGTCGTTGGGCAGGGTGGCGTGATGAGGGGATGGTGTGTTTATGTGGGGCGCGTGGGATATGTGAGGATTCAATTTCACTTCTGAGGATTCTTGAAAGGGAGGGAGGGGGGGGATGGGAATGGGGGAGGGAGGGAGGGGGGAGGGTCATAAGAGATCTGTCAAAGGAAAGTGGTTATTTCACTCACGTTTCTAAAGACCACCGCTTGCTTTCACTCGTCTGATTGCTGTGTTCCTTGTACTCTGCCTCCCGTATTTGCTCTCTCCCTACTTGTGCACTCCCCTACTTGTGCACTCTCCTTCTCTTCCACCCCCCCTACGTATCACTCCCCACTCTTCCCACCTTCGTTTCTGCCCCCTTGCGCGCATTGTTGCTCTGATACCAGTGGAATGGGCCAGCTGGCTATCCCGCTCCCGCCTCCATGCCCCCACGCCTGATGTACGTGCCTTGTCATGCCATGTTGTGCCGTGCTGTATGCCGTGCTGCATGCCGTGCCATGCCATTCCTGGCCATGCGTGCCGTGCCAAGCCTTGCCATGCCATGCCGTGCTGTGCTGCATGCCATGCCATGCCATGCCGTGCTGTGCTGCATGCCATGCCATGCCATGCCATGCCATGCCATGCCATGCCATGCCGTGCTGTGCTGCATGCCATGCCATGCCATGCCATGCCATGCCATGCCGTGCTGTGCTGCATGCCATGCCGTGCCATGCCATGCCATGCCACGCCATGCCATGCCATTCCATGCCCCCATGCCTGATGCATGTGCCTTGCACCCGCTTACACATGTTGCCACCCGCATTACCTTTTGACAAGCGTGCTTGCCCCGTGCGGTGCTGTGTGCGTTGCTGTGCTGTCAACTGTGGGCAGGAAATAGCAGCATTGGCGCAGCACCGAGCGATAGTGAAGCAACGAGCAAAGCGTGAGTTTAGGCCGTGAATATGAAATGTATCAATTCAATTCTAAGACTCCTTGTGACGGCTAGCCTGTGTGAGCTGGGGTGGATCGATGAGTGAATCTGTGGTGTTCTGTTAGGGTACTCTTTACAAGTTCCACTCAGCTTGTATGTTTCTGAATTGCCTCTTGCAGTGGATTTGTTCTGTTGTTCAGTCAAGAGTGCATTGGTTGGGCGTCAGTCAAGGGCGTAGGGGATGGGCGTCAGGGTGAAGGGTTGGATGGGAAAGAGGGGACCAAGAAGCCTTTTGTGTGTGTGTGCGTGTGTGTGTGAGTGTGTGTGTGTGCTTGCGTGTGTGTTTGTGCGCGTGTGTGTGCGTTTGTGCGTGCGCGTGTGTGTGCGTGTGTGTGAGAGTGTGTGTGTGTGCTTGCGTGTGTGTTTGTGCGCGTGTGTGTGCGTTTGTGCGTGCGCGTGTGTGTGCGTGTGGGAATGCGTGTATGGGTGGAAATGGGTGCATCTGTGCTGGTGCGTTGAAGTGCGTTGACCCGAGCTCATGGTTGGTTTTGCACGTGTGCATGGTGTATGCCTGCATGTGTGCATGGTGTATGCCTGCATGTGTGCATGGTGTATGCCTGCATGTGTGCATGGTTGCGTGCGTACATGGGTGCGTGAGTGCATGTGTGCATGTATGTCTGGGTGTATGTATGTGAGCAGTGTGGGAGCAGGAGGAGGAGCGGCGCCGGTTCAGGGAGAAGAGTTTACAGCATGACATGCAAAGACACGAGGGTGCAGGTGACACGAGGGTGCAGGTGACACGAGGGTGCAGGTGACACGAGGGTGCGGGTGACACGAGGGTGCAGGTGACACGAGGGTGCGGGTGACGCAAAGAGATGAATCCTGTAATTACCGTCTTGCCACTGATGGTTTTCACATTGCCTTCTTGCTTGTGATACATGCCTTCATTCGAGTTCAGCCCTTCACGACGCACCCTTACACTCCCCACACCCTGTCCTGCTCCCCGCCCTGTCCTGCTCCCCGCCCTGTCCCACTCCCCGCCCTGTCCCACTCCCTCAGAGGACCTAGATGCAGAGGGAGCAGCGCGCATGACCCACCGCCTCTCCCAAGCCATGCTGCACCGCGTGCGCTCCGCCACCCCCCGCCCCCCGCCCCCGCCCTCCACACCCCCCCGTTCCCCCTCTGCCGCCCCCCACCCGTCCTCCACCCCCCCACATGCCTCCGCGCAAGAAGCAAGAAGGGGAGGTGCAGGGGGGGGGGAGGGAAGTGAGACCGGTGGTGGTGTGGGTGTGGATGCTGGAAAAGGGTTCAGAGGAGGTGGAAGAGGAGGAAGAGAGGGAGCAGCATCAGCAGGACGGGGAGGAGAGTATAAGCCAGAGATGTGGGTACCTCCTGGGTCCTCTTAAATCCACACTTGAGCCGACTCAACAATCACCTCAGCATCGGCAGGACGGGGAGGAGAGTAAAAGCCAGAGATGTGGGTACCTTGTGGGTCTCACAGCCAGCCTTGATAAGTTTGATACCATGGGCTGAGGGGAGTGACTGGCCAGGGTTAGGAGACTTGTGAGACGTCGCAAAAGCATTGGCAGGACAGGAAGGAGCATATAAGCCAGAGATGTGGGTACCTCCTGGGTCTCACAGCCAGTCTTGATAGCTTGGGCTGAGCGGGGAGCTTATACGGTGAACCCAAGATGTGGATGCCATACCTCACCACCTTGTGAAAGAAGTGTGATTTTTACGGTAGACGTATCAAAACTGCACTTTTACATTAATAAATATGTACCATGGGCTGATGGGCGAGGGCGAGACTGGCTAGGGGTCATGAGGGGGAGCATCTACGGTACAGTAAGCCTGAGACGTGGGTACCTCCTAAGTTTCAGAGCCACTCTTGATACGGTACCATGGGCTGAGGGTGGAGGGGTAACCAGGGTTTGATTTGAATGGTGTTGGGTTGGGCTGGGACAATCGGGTATGTGCGTGGCTCATGCATAATTGGTTGGTTAGTACCGTCAGCCCCCGGATAGAAGCGCCCCTGGGGTTATAATAAAACACTGTTTTTTAGGGGGTGCGCTTATAATTGAGGAATTTTATAAGCGCCGGCGACTATAAAATGTCAAAATTGAAATGGTTTTTTTTTACATGTATTTGAAGCTTTTTCAAACGGGGATTCAATCCACATCTAGAACGTTCGAGTTAGTGCATGAAACGCGCGTCAAATTGCCAACAAGGCGCGGAATCACGCCCGCCACGCCTTGCTCGCCTGGCCAGATTCATCGTACCGAATCTGGCCCATGCCAACGCACACGCAGTTTAGTGTGCGACTGCCCAATCAGGGCCGACTGTCGTGCTAGCCACGACGCAGTACAACCACAAACGGGGCATATGCGGCAAGATTCCTTGCCAACAACGCTTGGACCTCACCACATCAGCTCCTCTGCGGGGAAATCTTGACTGTTTCTCCCCTTAGCCTGCAGAGGAACCCGGGCCGCGAAGTTGGAGGGGTCTCGGGCAAGGGTTTCAAACATGCGTCATTCTCCCTGTTTTTTTCAGATTTCTTGTTTCCCATCGGCCTGCCTTAGCCATGGCGGGCCTACCAGGCACCCATTTCCTCTTTAGGCGCCGAGGTGCTGCTGACAAAGCTCCCGATTACTCCCAGTGGCAGAGTCGTCCAGCGCCAATACCTCCTGCTCCTCCTGCGCCTCCTGCACCTCCAGCGCCTCCTGCTCCTCCCGCTCCGCCTATCGTCGTCATCAACGATGTGCCCGTTCTGCAGCTTCTCCCTCGCGGCTACTCTGCTTTCGATGCGTACATCTCCGAGCCCGAGCACGAGCCCGAGCGCAGCGACGAAGATGAAACCGGTCCCGGTCTTTCGCCACGTTGGGGAGACCCGGAAGACTGCCCGCACGACGAATCCGCCACCGGTGCCGAAGACGATGTTGAGTGGTGGGCGGCCGACGGTCTTCCCGAGGACTTGCCTGTCCCAAGTTTTCCCCCGCCCAATAAAAAAAGGCCCCACCCCTGCACCCAGAATCGTGATTCCCGCCCCCCGTCTCCCAGGAGCAGGTGCTCAAGGCACAAGCGGCACTCCTATACTTCTCAGGAGAAGCTGCACTGGATTTCACAGCTGGAGTCCGGTGCTGTGAGTGTGCGGAAGATGGCACGCGACTCTGGTATCTCCCGAAAGTCCCTGGCAGAATGGAAATCGCGGAAGGGTGAGCTGGAGGGCGCGCATGGGGCTCGCAAGCGTCTTCACGGGCGTGGTCGGTCGTCGTGGTGCCGCGACATGGAGATCCAGGTCTACTCACGAGTACTTGCTGCCCGAAAAAAGTGCCTCGCAGTGTCGGTCGGCCGCCTGCAGCAGTGGTCGCGAGAGGTGATGAAGAGCCTACATCCTGAGGTAAAGTGGGCGGGATCTCAGAGGTGGACCGAGCGTTTTCGGCGCCGCTGGAATCTCACTACCCGAGAGAAGACCCGTGTCGGCCAGAAACTATCCTCCGGTGAGTGGGTGTTGTTGTCTTCGCTCTTGTTTATCCCCTTTGCCAACCGGTCGATGTGGTAATGTTTTTTTATGGTTTCTGCCTCCCCGTCCCTTCCAGAGTGCGAGACGCAGGTGCGAAACTTCTGGAAGTTCGTGCGACACACCCGCCGACAGTACGGAATCGACAACCGCTGGATCATTAATGCGGATCAGACCCCGCTCTGGCTCGAAATGCCAGCTGAACGCACTATCGAGGAGGTGGGGGTCCGCTCCGTGCCCATCCGCAGCGGCGACTATCAAAAGGAACGCGTGACGGTGATGCTCGCCTGCACCGCCAGCGGCGAGAAGCTCAAGCCCTGGGTGTTCTTTAAGCGCAAGACAGTTCCAAAGGGGAATTTCCTCTCCGGTAAGCCGAGCAGCTTGTGCAGTCCCGGTAGGATTTGCATGTGTTGTTTTTTTTTTATTGATGTCAATCTCAACGTTGTGCGGATGTGCAGATGTCGTGGTCGCCGCACATCCCAACGGTTGGATGGACGCGGACGGCGTCCTCGCGTGGCTCGACGGTACGGTGGGCCCGTACATCAACCCGAGGTTCGGAGTGCGCAGCAGGAGGGCGATGTTGGTGCTTGACTCCTACTGCGGGCACCTGACTAATCAAGTGAGGGCGAAATTCGGCGAGCTGCGTATCGTGCCGGCCGTCATACCAGCTGGCTGCACATCGGAGGTGCAGCCGTTGGACGTCGCGGTGAACCGCTCCTTCAAAGCAGCTGTGCGACAACAGTACCAGGAATGGTTCGAGAGCGAGGGTGTTGACTGCCTGACTGAAAGAGGTGAGATTTAAGATTTAGGACTGATTGTTTTTCAATTATTGACCCTGTTCTAACTGATGAATCTTTCTACGTGTGGCAGGCAACATCCGCAAGCCACCACCTGAGCTAACGCTCAAGTGGATCTCCAAGGCCTGGAAGGCGGTGCCCAAGGAGTTGATTGAGCGCTCGTTTCTGACCTGCGGCATCAGTAACGCCTTGGACGGGTCTCAGGACGGTCTCTGCCTGCAGCACCGGCAGGACGACGTCAAAGGCGAAGTGGATCTTGACGACGAGATTGCAGCAGATGGATTCTGCTGCAACAACGTAGACGAGCCAGAGTCGGACGGTGAGACCGCCGACGAAGGCACTGCCACTGCTGAGGAGGATGCCTAGGTTGTGTGGGTAAAGTAGAAATGTGTAGGACGTGAAAATGTGGTAGAAAATGTAGAAAATGCGAAGATGTAGTCGGATATTTAGAGAAAACGTAGGATAATAATTGTAACAGCTTAAAACTAAAAAATATATTTTTTAAATGGTGGCGCTTATAATGTGTAAGGTAGTAGGGGTGCGCTTATAATCCGTAAGGCTCTAAGCATGCGCTTATAATCGAGGAGCGGATATAAGCGCCCTCATCCTTTTATAAGCGCCGGCGCTTATCCGAGGCCTGCGCTTCTATCCGGGGGCTTACAGTATGGTACGGTACGGTATGGTACCGGTACCGTACTAATGTCCTCAACACCGTATGTACCGTACTGTCAAATGTTGTAGCCTATAGTGAGGTTTGTCTTAGGGGGTACAGAAGTTAGGGTTTGTCATATGTACCCCAACCAACATCAATGGCATCATCCATTCCTCATTCTGACATGGTATCAGCTAGGTTAGGATCCTGTGGGATCCCGTTCATCCGTTCTCCGTTCGTACCTCCCGAGCCTGACCCTACCTCTCGTTCGTACCAGTTCCGTTGTTACCGCGCCTAGTACCGAGCCTAGCGCCCTTTCCCCCCGTCGCTTAGCGCCCTTTCTCCCCGTTACCTAGCGCCCTTCCCCCCCCCCCCCCCGTCGCGTCGCCCTGTCCCGTCGCGTCGCGCCCTTTCCCCCCGTCGCGTCGCGCCCTTTCCCCTCGTCCCGTCGCGCCCGTTCCCCCCGTCGCGTCGTGCCCGCCCGTTCCCCCCCGTCGCGTCGTGCCCGCCCGTTCCCCCCCGTCCCGTCGCCCTGTCCCGTCGCGTCGCCCTGCCCCGTCGCGTCGCCCTGCCCCGTCCCGTCGCCCTGTCCCGTCCCATCGCCCTGCCCCGTCGCGTCGCCCTGCCCCGTCGCATCGCTCCCGCCCTTTCTCCCGTCCCGTCGCCCTGCCCTACGCCCTAGCCCGTCGCCCTACTCTAAGCCCTGGCCCGTCGCCCTACCCTAAGCCCTGCCCCGTCGCCCTTCCCTCCGCCCTGGCCCGTCGCCCTTCCCTACGCCCTGGCCCGTCGCCCTACCCTAAGCCCTGGCCCGTTGCCCTACCCTACGCCCTGGCCGGTTGCCCTACCCTACGCCCTGGCCCGTCGCCCTAGCCCGCTCTTCCGCTGCGACTGAGTCCTCTTCCTCCCGGTTGTTACCCGCCTGTTCGTTTGCGTTAGTTCTCACTATGGCGACTCCGCGAGTTCTTCGTTTCGACGCTGACGGTAGACCCCTTGACTTTTCCGTCTGGCTTCTTCGCGCTCGCCGTCTGTTAGAGAGTCAGGTCCAGGGGGGCGAGACCCTCTGGTCGCACGCTACTGGTGACCTCCTCGAGCCCCCCGAGCCTACAGCTTTAGGCTCTGCCCTGACAACGCTGCTACGGCTCGCTTTGCCCGTCAGCGCGCTGACCGGACGGCTTGGACGTCGCGTGACGCTGCGGCCTGCATCGCACTCAGCAGCCTCCTCCCTGAGTCAGAGGAGGTCCACTTTACTCAGGTTCGCACCGCTGCTGCGTACCTCACTGCGATTAAGGCCCGCTACTCTACTCCCGCTACTGTCTCTCTTGGCCGTCTTTTCCTCCCGTTCCTGTTTCCTGATCTCGCCTCGTTTGAGCGCTCTGCTGACTTGATCGCTCACCTCCGCTCGCTCGACGCTAGTTACCGCGCTGCTTGCACTGAGGCACA